GTGGGGCCTACCGGCCTTTCTTCGTTCTCAAACATTCTCAACGGAATTCAGATCAAGTCGCTCACACCGACACTCCAAAAACCCAACATGGCGAAAACGACACCGTCGCATCCAACCCTTCTCTTCCTCACCGTCCTCCTCCTGACAACCGTGCAGCCCTCACAGTCGTTCGCCTTCCGGCAGTACCGAACCCTCTTCTCCCTCTCCCACTCGCTCATGACGCGAGTGGCCAACCTCCGCGAGGCACGTGGCGACGTTTCGGGAGCTGACCGGGCCAGGCTCGTCGCGGCAAAGCTGGAAGGGGGGCTCGTGGGCGGGTGGGGGTTCATGTGGTCGGCGGCCTGGGACTACATGAAGAACTACGCATGGAGGGAGTTGCCCTATTCGGAGGTATACGGCGCCGTTTCGGACGCGAACGAGTTGCTCAGGTGGCTGGGTGAGTTGGGTCGAACGGAATCGGACTCGGAGAGAGCCGCTTGGGTGGGACAGAATTACCAAAGTGTCCTCAGAGTCGCAAATTCGCTGCTCCGTAGGCTCCTCACGGTGTTCTATCACTCGGTACGCACCGTTTCACTTATTACCAAATACCTTTTCGTTTTTTTTTTTTTTCGGTCTTTCATAATGAATTATTTTTTGGTTTAATTAATTTAATTGGGTGATTGAATTAATTTTGGGTTTGGGGATTGTGGTGACAGGGAACGTTGAGAGAATTGGTCAAGGCAGTGCAGAACGAGGTGAAGGAGGGGGAGCTTTTGAGGGATATTCTTGAATTGGGCACCAATGATTTCAAAGGTTTGATCCAAATTCTCAAGGATTTGGGATTACAATACGGTTCCTCTACTATGCACCAAGATTTATGACATATATGTAGTTAATTTGTATTTCTTTTACTACTCAGAAAAGAAAACGACCATTAAATTATTTGTATTTTCTTCTTGTATGTTTGATGAACTTGAAATGAAAAGCTCCTTTATTTTAGAAATAATGAATAATTATAGTGTTATCTCCATTTGGAAAATTCATAATTTTTATACCATATCACTAACACATTTTTTAGGGAGGCTAATTTCACTGCAGATGTTGTAGCTAATGTGGGTCATGGCCGAGGCTTCTGATGTTTGGGAGCATAGTTTGCCCCTCTAATTTGACATCTTTGGGCATTTTTGATCAAGAGGTTTTGCTTTGTAACTTTTGTTTCCGTATTTAAAACAAAAACACATTTTTTAGACATGGTACATGTTGCTCACCCCACTTAATCTCAGGTTACATTTGGATGGATGAATTTGACAAAAATGGTAAATTTGCTATTAAAAAAACAAGAACAAAATAAGATTGAATGTGTTTGAAATAACTAGATATAGTACATTTCAAATGAATATATGCATTGAATCATTTGAAATCCATTTATTTTCTTTCTTCCTTTCTTTCTTGTTCAAATCTTGTGGATAGTTTGGGAGTGTTAAACATTTTGCTTCACCCCCAACTTCATTATCATCAGACAAGCTTACTCTGCAGAGTACTGGAAGCACTGTACAGTCAAATTCCTCTCTGTAAGCACCCAACAAGGTAAGCAATCAAGCAAAAGACTACTGACAATCCACCGAAACTAAAATTGAATCATCCAAAATTCCTGTCAAAGAAAAAAAAAATGATGAAAACTAATGTTCTATGTTGCACCGATACGGATACGGATACGGCGATACAATACAATATGCCGATACGGCAAATTTCCAAAAAGTAAAATACGGGTATGGCACCGATACGACGATTAAAATAATATATATTTTAAAAAATAATATAAATTGAAAAATTGAAAAATGATATTTCATCCATAATAAGTTCAAAACATTAACAAAACACATAACTTCATTCAAATCTCCATAAACAAAGCACAAATTAAACAAAACACACAAAATATAAGTATCCATAAACAAAGCACAAATTAAAACATTAGAAATCACTTCTCAAAGCTCTAACTTCATTCATCACCGGTAAATACCCAACCCATATAGCATATACCTATTATCTAATTAACAACAATTCCAACTTCACAAACTAACCACACAACAATTTTTTAAATTAGATACCCAACTAACAAAACAGCAGAGCAGCTTATTAAAAGAAAACAGAAAGAAAACCTTGAGCAGCTGCGTAAGAAACCCCAAATGAATCTGAGATGGCGACGGCTATGGGTGCGACGGCGCTGGTGAGTTCTCTTCCTTCTTCCTTCTTCCTTCGTCTTCTGTTTTGTTTGCTGTCTGAATGAGACCCAAAAGACCAAGCCTCTCGATATTGGCAGAGTCTTTGAACTTCTAAGTTTTAATTTTACATTTTAACCCCATATTTGGCATGCACAATTCTACACGAGTGGAATTTTGGATATTACTTTTTTTTTGCCAATAACCAACAAAGCAAGCGAATGTTAACTTGCGTACCAAGAAGACCCGGCCCGCTCCCGTCCACTTAAAACCCTGAAGACCCGGCCCGCTCCCCTCCGCTTAAAACCCTAACACTCTCTCTCTCTCTCTCTCTCTTTCTCTCACTCACTCAGAGTTTCCTTCCACAGCCAGCCATGGTGAAGCACTACAGGCCTCCCGTAAGTTCTAAAGTTTCTTCGATAAGTTGTTCGGCTATATCATCAATCACTATTCACTAACACTTAAGCGCACGCATGCAGCTGCTTAATTTTCTTTCGTATCTTCTTTCAGGGCAAGAAAAACGAAGGTAATGCTGCAAGGTTCATCACCAGGTCAAAAGCCATCAAGCAACTTCAAGTCAGTCTACCCCTCTTCAGGTCTGTCTCTCTTTCTCTCCATCTTCCCTTCCCCATATATACCTACCTTCAGATCATGGACAGATTAAACTTGTAATTCGTATATTCATTCATTCTCATATCAGTTTATATGTAACTTCCGCATATATTTGTTGGAAATCAATAAGAAAATAATTTTCCGGTCTTGTACATATTACCCAATTGTATTTCGTGATGATTTTTATGGCTATGCATGCAAATTTTAGGAAAGTATGTATTCTGAAGGGGGTATTCCCTCGGGAGCCAAAGAAGAAGGTGAAAGGAAATCACCATACTTATTATCACTTAAAGGATGTTTCATACATCCAACATGAACCATTACTCGAGATCTTGAGAGAGATCAGGGCATATCAACACAAAGTAAAGAAAGCCGAGGCCAAGAAGAACCCGGATCGTGCTACTCTTCTCAGACAAAGAAGTCCTGCTTACAAATTAGACAAAATTGTTTTGCAGAGGTTAACTTTTAATTATTCTTATTCAAAATAAATAAAAAGTATGCTGATTTTGCTTCTCTCTCTCTCTCTCTCTCTCATTGTATGTAATTGTTATGTTCCATGAAATTGCAGGTATCCGAAATTCCTTGATGCTCTTAGAGATTTGGATGACTGTCTCACAATGGTTCACCTCTTTGCCGCCTTACCTGCTATTGAGGGCTGTATTGAAGTGAAACGCATCCATAACTGTCGGAGGTGAGGCTGGCGTTGGAGCATATGAAATAACAATTATGTTGAACAGCATCATTCCATGCACCAGTTCATGTTTCCGAGTCTGATTATCTTAGGCCCTTTGTTGCTTTAATTTTTTTTTCCAGGTTGGCTCATGAATGGCAAGCTTACATATCTCGTACGCATAGATTGCGTAAAGTCTTTGTATCTGTTAAAGGCATATATTATCAGGTGCAGTAGCATACTGTATATATCACTGCTTCTTTAAATGTTTAACTGTGGCATCTTTCGTTATTCGGGTAGGGAGGATTTATACGGTAGCGTTGTGTTGTCTGTGCAGGCCGAGGTTAAAGGGCAAAAGGTCACATGGTTGGCTCCTCACCCTTTGCAGCAAGTTGTGACGGATGATGATGACTTCAATATCATGCTAAACTTTTTGGAGTTTTACGAGGTTTCATTCTTTTATTCTTCTATTCTTCTAATTTAGTTTTTTCTTCAATCAGTTTATGTGCTAGCCGTAAATGTTATTTGGTATCCATTAAGCTTCTTCTTTTGCTTTCCTTCCAATGAATCGATTACTTGATCATCTTGATCATACACGAGTTGTAATATTCATCCAGCTTCTTCTTTCCTTTTCTTATAAGAAGTTTTTGCTCACTCGGTGCAGGCTCTTCTTGCCTTTGCGAATTGTCATTTATATCATTCAATAAATGTGAAGTATCCACCCATTCTTGATCCTCGATTGGAAGCTTTAGCAGCAGGTATGCAATGCATTTTTACTAGTTGTTTAAGAGAAGCTACGAGGTCCTTATCTTCTCTCTTGGCAATGTTGAGTTGTGGATCTTTTGTGTGTTAATGGAGCATGAGTATGATTTAGTTTGATTGCAGATCATTATGCTCTATCAAGGTATTTCGATGCAAACTCTCGATCCTCTGCGTGGGATTGCCAAGAGTCAAGTTTGTCTGGATCTGGAAAAGTTGAGAGCCAGCAGATTGGGCCTTTGGTTGATGAGTCTGAACTAAGACTTGCCCAACTGCAGCATCAACTCTCCTCAAATGAACCTGGTGCATTGATGCACCTTGTGGAGGATGTTCCAGGTGAGGATGAAGAGGATAATGATACGAGGGAGTGCAAGAAACTCTTCAAAGATATGAAATTTTTCTTGAACCGTGAAGTAAGTCCTAAAGTCTTACATCAGATTTCAGAATCATAATTTTTTTTTCTTTTTTGAAACTTATTTTCTTACGTTTAATGTGTCACTCAATTTTCTAATGCTATTTCTTTCTTTTAGTTGATCAGCAGTAGAATAACTTGTGCGTGTAATTTCTCTATGTTCAGGTTTACAGAGATTCTCTGCTTTTTATCATACCTGCTTTCGGTGGAATTGTTTCCTGGCAAGGAGATGGGGCTCCCTTTGAGGAAGATGATGACAGCATCACCCATCAGGTATTCTGCTACATTATCTTTATGCCGAGTCATTGATTTGTTAAACATCACACTCGGATAACATGTATGTAATGTCTCTTGCCAAAAAAGAAAAAAGAAAAAACCAAAATCGGTCTTTAGTATAACAATTCTGACAGCTAGACTGCTTGTGTGTTCTGCAGATTATTGACAGGCCAAGGCAGGATGGGAAGATCTGTGGTAGAGAATATGTTCACCCACAGTGGGTTTATGATTGTGTAAATGCTCGGATCATTTTACCAACTGGGAATTATTTGATGGGAAGGTAATCATGAAGGACAATTTTTCTTATTTGCATGTGTTGTAAATCTCTCTGCCTTGCACCATGATGAAATGACTGGTTATAAGACTCATTTTCTGTGGTCTGCTTCCTTTTCTAGCTGTGTTTTTCATTTCTCTATTGGATAATAAAAGTTAATGACTTGTAAGATGATTAATTTAGTGCTCTTTTTAACAGGGATCCTCCTCCACACTTGTCACCTTTTGTTGACAATGACTCTTTCGAGACCGAAGGTGTTATTAACCGAGCAGAAGCAGAAGCAGAAGTTGCAAAGGAAAAGCGGAAGAAGGTAGGCAAGGTTTAAATTTCTGCTTTTTTATTTTATGATGTGATCAATGATCATATATGACAGCACTATTTGTCCTTGATTGATGTTTAACTAGATTTTGGCATGATGCATATGCAGATGAAGGCTCATGAGAAGCAGCATCATCATGAATTAATTATGGAACTTGAGGGTGTCACAGATTCATCATCTATCTCGAATATAGATAATCTGAGCGCTGATCGGGAAGAACCTGATCATGATTATGAGCAAGTTGAGGAGGATAACAGAATTATGTCTGAAATTGAATTGTCACGTTGGGTCAGGGGGGTTATTGAAGGCATGAGGGTAAGTTTGTTAATGATATCATGCAAACTTTTATTGGTCTCTCAAGTGTGACATTAATAATTAAACAGGTCAAAAAAGCCGTTCGAAAACAGATCGGAAAGCTTTTGTTTGGTTTGATTCCATTGTGAACCTGTTTTGAGATTTGAATTCCCGGCTTGAACAAGAGTTATATGTGAATTCAAATGCTGTGTTTTCTTTAATAGAAAATTGTGTCTCACTTCACTTGCCATTAATTTTTAGAAGTTTTATGTTTCTTTAGCCAGAAGCTACCTCTTTGTTTGATCTTGTAAATGCAATAGATAACATTTTGTCGTGGATATCTGATTCTTGGATGTTTCTTCATTCAGATAAGCAGGCAACGAAAGAAGCACCTTGATGATGTTATTAGGCAACGGAGGAGAAACCTTAGAAGAACATGAAGTATCTGAACTTCTTTTGTCACGTCGGATCAGGAGGGTTATTAAGGATAATCACTATCTAGGAATTGCATGAGATTAAGAGCCCTATGGTTAAATTTGGTAGTTCTGCAATTCATAAATATATAATACATATATAATAACTATATAGGATTTGCTTGAATATTCCTTTATTTACAGCTTTCACTCAGAAGCGTTTTTGCTAGAAACTTATTTATTAATAAGAATTCAAGTGCTTCCTGAAAAAACACGAGCTAGGCGCTATGTGTTTTCACTTTTTTGTTTTTCTTTTTGTTTTGAGTACAAGCGATAGTTTAAAGTACTCACACACGCACAACTATGATGCTATTCAAACCTGAGACCTTTGGTCTGCAAGTTAAGACCTTTTTTCACTAGGCTAGACCCCATTGGTATGTGTTTTCACTTTTAGATATGGAGAGTTTAGCAATGCTTATCAATCCTGGCGTAGCAAGCATAGCCAACATATGATGAGACAGTGTGAGTGCATCTGCACCCACCCAGGCTTCCCCAAAGCCTATCTTTTGGTAATTAATAGAAGATTTGAAGAAGACAGTTGAGTTGATTTTGCTAGACATATCCTGGCCGTAATAGGAGAATAGAGACCCATACACAGTGTTGCTCATAAATAGGTCATGTGGTGGGTGATGAAATTCAAGTCTCTGAAGACAAATATTTGATAGTGATGTTGTGATGAGCTAAGTAATGCCTGCCTCAACCACCTTTCTTCAATTGTGTCACTCCTTTCGACCAAAAACTCTTTTCTTAGTGCTAAACATCACGTGATTTTTAATGCTATCATTTCCTCATCTTATCACTTCTGAGATTGGCCCATAGTTCCATTTGATGTATTAAGTTTTAGCAATGAAATGAGGTCTTGGACTGGTGCTGCTCTCGTTCAAATTCTGATCTTATTTACTATTTCAAGATTTAGCTATTTGTCCCAAAGTTTTAGAATAACAAAATGTGTTAAACAAACAGTAATTCATACTTACAGTAACAAGATATAGACAAACTTACTTGACTTACAAAAGTCCACAACCAAACTCCCAACTTGACAATATCTTTCGCCTAAATTGCACAAGGCATTGTTCCAAAAATAGGGGCAATGCCCCGCCTCTGATTCACTATAAAGACGAGTGTGTGAGAGAATGAATGAATTTGCTGAAAAGATAAAGCGATCATACAAAGTTCTATCTTTCTTTCTTTTTTTTTTCCTTTTTTAGGCCCTATATTAAAGCAGAATTATAAAGTCTTTGAGTGCTTTGCGGTGCACACCTATATATGCCAACTGCTCCGGGACCATTGTGGATTGATGAGAAAAATCATGATAAAAATAGTTGGTTTCCATGGAGGTGAGGGTTTTCAACTTCGGCAAGCAAACCTTCTTTCCCTGCTGAGTCAACTTAAAAAGGTTGACTTTAAAACCCAAACAAAAAAGAGCTTAAAAAGGTTTGACTCAACACCCCCTTCAAGTTGACCAGAAAAACGTGTCCAGACTCCAGTTGACTCACGATATCTGCATCATGAATACCCCTTTTTAATTTCACTATGGTTTGCTTCTCTTTTGTGGGTTTAAATTTAAAAACGGAAAAACTTGACAGACTCGTTTTTGGGGTTACTCTAAAATCATGATAAAAATAGTTGGTTTCCATGGAGGTGAGGGTTTTCAACTTCTGCAAGCAAACCTTCTTTCCCTGCTGAGTCAACTTAAAAAGGTTGACTTTAAAACCCAAACAAAAAAGAGCTTAAAAAGGTTTGACTCAACACCCCCTTCAAGTTGACCAGAAAAACGTGTCCAGACTCCAGTTGACTCACGATATCTGCATCATGAATACCCCTTTCTAATTTCACTATGGTTTGCTTCTCTTTTGTGGGTTTAAATTTAAAAACGGAAAAACTTGACAGACTTGTTTTTGGGGTTACTCGGCTTATTTTGTAGTTAGGTGTTTACTGTTTTGGCCAAAAAAAGAAGTTAGATTCATACTGCTCCTCATGTTTTGAGTAGCTGGGTTTGCTTCTTTTGTAGTTGGCTTTCACTACTTTGTTCATTTGTTTGTCTTCTCCTCCACATGAAATGGAAACCACCGACGCCATAAGTCAATGACAACTTAGCTAGCAGAGACATCTTTTCTTACCAACTGCGTTTCTTGTTTCTTGTTTCTTCTTGATCATGTTATAGGGAGATGGTGGTAAAGGCTTTTTTTCTTTTACACGGTATGCAATGAGTTGGTTCCCCCCAAAACATTTAATTTGGCCACCCTCCCACATTAAATGGCATGTGGGTTGGTACATTTTTGTATAACATGTTCAACACCTATGTCATTGCTCGACAGCTTCTTTGCTCTCTGCACACCATTCAATTATATGTCACTGTAGTCTTGAATCTCAGCCCTTGATCTGTTCCCCATGACCCTTTTTCAAAGATCATAATACATAGCTCTCTCTCTCTCTCTCTCTCTCTCTCTCTCTCTCAATTTGCTTCATCAACTCTGCAATGCACTAATTGGTGATGAGCCAAAGTAAACGATGGACAGAAAGACTGTCTCAGAGGGCCACAGAGCTCTAGAGAAGATTGACTGTGCACATCGAATTAATTTCTTTGACACAAATGATAGTCTAAACTACTCTAAATTATAATCTAAACTACGGAAGAGATACTCAAATTTGGATGCAATGGGGCTGCACATATAATTAGTTACATACTCATTTAGGATTAAACATTAATTATTTATCATTTAGTTTATCATTGATGAACATATATGGTGGTCCCTTTCAACGTCCAAATTGGTCTCCAATTTCTGTCGTCAATGGCTCAACTTCACCTCTGGTAAAAATAGGTTAGAGAACAAACCTAGCTAGAAGCCAATGGTGTCTAAATTTAGCTAGGGTCCTAGGAACTACACAAATTTGCATGGAAAGCCAATGGTGCCTTGCTGATTAATTACAGATTGAATGTCATTGAGATTAGTTACAACACTGTGATGAAATGCAAGAGCAATAAGTTATTGGAATTCAAAAACTTATGAGAAATTCAGAGCAGAGAGAGAGAGAGAGAGAGGTGTCAGAGCTGGCTTTGCCATACACAGTCTCACATTATATCCGCGTGAAATTAATGCATCGAACTAACTCTCTCAACTGTAAAAGCTGTGTCGACATATCCAATCTCATTTGCTTTGGCTGGCCTCCCACTATTATATATACTCATGCACCTTGCTTTTAAGTTCCTCACACACACATCATATCTACCTTTCCATCTTCTTGGTCATTTTCATTCCTTGCTAGCTTGAAGTTTTTATTGCTAAATTTGGGCCAATGGTGAACAAAATGTGGGCGGTGTGTGCTGTTGTGGTTTTGGCGTTGAACTTGTGGTGCAATATTGGGGCTAGAGCTGCACCACAAGTGCCTTGCTACTTCATATTTGGAGACTCTTTGGTCGATAATGGAAATAATAACCAGCTTCAGTCCTTGGCCAGAGCTGATTATTTGCCTTATGGGATCGACTTTGGTGGACCTACTGGAAGATTTTCCAACGTTGTTTTTTTTCGCAGAAAATTTACCCATGATGTAAAGGAAATATCCCCCCAAGGACCCACCGCCCTTCTCTCTCTCTCTCTCTCTCTCTCTCTCTCTCCATCTCCATAATATCATTTTCTGCTAACTTGTTAATGGTCACGTAATCTCTTTAGTTTCCTCATCTAATCATTCTCTAGGAAGTAGTAAAGCGTTTTGGTAATGGGATTTTGAAACTAAGACTTCTCTGTGTGCCTTGGATTTTGGATGCATGCAGCCTTTATGATTATCATCTGCATTCTGAGGGACCATTTGTTAAAGTACCATGCCTCTCCTATTCATTTCTTTGAAAATAAAATAACAATAAAGAATGCTATAGCAGTTCTCAACCCATCTGCCTTCCTCATTTATGACATTAAAGAGTGAATTTATTTCTCTGAGCATTTCATCTGTTGCTTTCTAAAAAACCCAGAAATCCCAAAAATAAACTACATGGTCACATAATTCAAGATCAGGAAAAGAAAACTGCTTGTGTAAAAAGTTAAAAACCAAACAGTAAAATTCAGCATAACTCTATATGATATATGTACTGATGATCAAGTGTCCTTCAAATTATCTGCAGCTGAGCTTTTGGGTTTTGATGATTATATTCCGCCCTATGCAACTGCTAGAGGCCAAGACATACTCAAAGGAGTAAACTTTGCATCTGCAGCTGCTGGGATTAGAGAGGAAACTGGACGTCAATTGGTAATTACAACTTTTTTTCACGACACATATTCACTAAAACATAATTATGCATGTGTTTATAATGTTAATTATATTCTAATCATGGTTTTGAATGTTGCAGGGAGGCCGGATTACATTTAGTGGTCAGGTAAAGAATTACCAGAACGTAGTGTCCCAAGTCGTAAACTTTCTTGGCGATGAGGACCAAGCTGCAAATTATCTGGGCAAATGCATATACTCAGTTGGGTTAGGCAGCAACGATTACCTCAACAACTATTTCATGCCACAATTTTACTCCACCGGCAACCAATTTACTCCCGAGGAATATGCTACTTCTCTTATCCAAGATTACAGTCAGCAACTAAGGGTTAGTCTTTCTCCCCATTCCATTCATTTTTTGTGCATTTAGGTTCATCAAAAACATTTTTTATGGTTACATCTGACATATTATATTGTCCGACAATTTGATGAGAGAACATTTCTTATTAATCTCATATGAATTTTGATAATTGTGAGCCCAAATCTTGCCCAAGTTTAAAATGGGCCTTAAGTTATTCTCTCACCAGGCCTATCTTTGAGTTGACATTTGGGCCTTCTTGGGGTCGAGTTCTATTTATGTATACGGTTGTAGATGCGTATGTACTTGGGTACTTGTTTCGTGTGCATGCATACATTATACATACATACATATATACCTATACACAGCCGGTTCCCATTAGTTGGTTTTCTGAATGCTGATTGGCGTGTATTGTATAGATTTTGTACAATTATGGAGCAAGGAAGATTGTGTTGTTTGGAATTGGACAAATAGGTTGCAGTCCAAATGAATTGGCCCAAAATAGCCCAGATGGTGCATCATGCGTAGACAAAATAAACTCCGCAAACCAAATTTTCAATAGCAAGCTGAAGGCACTTGCCAATGAATTCAACACTAACCTATCAGATGCAAGAGTTATCTTCGTAGACTCTTATGGCATTTTCCAGGACGTAGTAACCAGCCCTGCACAATATGGTAAATACAAGGGCTAATTACAAAACCCCCTCTTTTATTCAACTTCAAAATACAACTGTTTTATTTTGTGACATTTCTACTGTATTTGATCTTCTTCTTTTAGTTCATTCCGTTCAAAATTAACGAAAAAGCGGTCACATAACCAATTAAGTAATGAAGTAGCTTGGTCACGTCTCGCTTTTTCGTTAATTTTTACAGAATCAATTAAAGGTACATTTGTCACAAAACAAATATTACTTAAAACTTAGTGGTGATTTTTATTTTCACTTTTTTACTTTTAGGAGAACAATTATGTGACGCAGTTGGAACGTTCTTTTTTTCTTTGTTTGTTTTGATTTCAGGATTTAGAGTTACAAACGCAGGGTGCTGTGGGGTAGGGAGGAACAATGGCCAAATTACATGTCTTCCTCTCCAAACTCCATGCCAAAATAGGGATGAGTATCTGTTTTGGGATGCATTTCATCCAACTGAGGCTGGAAATGCCATCGTAGCAAGGAGAGCATACAGCGCTGTTCGTGCCTCCGACGCTTACCCTGTCGATATTCGCCGGCTCGCTCTGCTTTAATCAAATCCTCCTCCTGCACATTTTGAATCAATGGTTGCAGTGACATATAATCATGCATGCACCATAAGATTCAACAGAGATAAATAACTTAGCTACTATATATAAACATATATTGCTTTAATCAAATCCTCCTCCTGCACATTTTGAATCAATGGTTGCAGTGACATATAATCATGCATGCACCATAAGATTCAAAAGAGAAAAATAACTTAGCTACTATATATAAACATATATCATATATATATCATGCATTACGTCATGGTATTCTTTGTTGCAGTGATCGTGTTTGGTCTTTAGAATTTTGAGATGTTCATCAAATTTGTGATCTTCTTCTTCTTGTGTACTGAAATGTTTAAATTATATCATACGAAAATGAGTTTGTTTGGTTTTGAAAAAGAAAAGGAAGCTGTGAATATGAGTTTGCATGGACGTACGGCACCGACCTTGTCTCAATTATTTTCCAACTTTTATTTTTCCGACAAAAAAACAGAGAGAACATATATATACAGTATATAGATGTAGGTTGAAAAGTCTCATCATTGCAATATCACAGCGTTATCAGACCAATATTGTGATATCATGTCAGCTAATGGCTAAAAGTCTCATCATTGTCGAAAACAATCACTCGTCTTTGCTTTTGAAATTTTTTTTTTTTTGGCACACCGTTCACGTTTTTACACAGAATAATTTAAACTTTTTTGTTCAAAACATCCTACAATAACATTTATGTAAGCCACAACTTTTTACTTTTAGATTAACTTTTTGACACACATTATATTTCCAAAGATATTCATTTTGTTTGAAAAAATAAATAAAGGTATATAAATCAGATCCAATCTCAACCGTTCGAAGTGTTTAAATCCAATGATCTATATATATATATATAATGGTGGGGTTGGATTGAGAGTAACATTATTATTAGCTATAGGCTTTTGGAGTGTGAGAAGACAAATAAGATATTTCCTTGTATATATGTGGAGCCAAAATTAATTTTCTCGTGGAGCTTTCATGCATCGGCAGAAGATGGAAAGACTGTTATTTAGCCTGCTAGCTGCAAAGATAAGTAGGGCATGCTTGCAAGTTGCATGATCTCAATTATGGATTGTTTGTCGTCCTGTTAGTTCTGGCTACAGGCAATGTGGGAAACGTGAAAACTATTTTAACGGTAAGAGCTAATAATTCACTTTCTTTTATCTAATCAGCATAAATCAGAGCCACATATATATTTAGTCAAAGTACTTGCATATACTGCAGTGTAGACAATAACCCAGAGCGCTAGCTGCTGGAGGCTATATTCAGTACATAGAGCGCTAGCTGGAGGAAATTCTCACACGTCACATAATATCTCTAGCCTAGTGTGGAAAGAAATTTGAAAGTGTGATACCCTACCAATAATCTCTAGCGTATAGTATCGAATGCAGTTCCGACGAGACTGAATTTATTTAAGAGAAAGATTTGTGAGTCCCCTATTTGTGTTTTATGTGAGCAATTCCATTGAACATGTTCTTTTCCTTTGCCCTTGGACTCAGGCAGTGTGGTTTGGGTCTACTCTCTATTTCAGTATTGATACCCAAAGCTTTCGTACTATTGATATTCGGTTGAGTAAGTTGCTTAATATCAGATCCTGCACAAAAGAGGAGAAGAAGAACATGCTCTTGTGAGTTTTCTGGTGTGAGAAATTTGGAAATCCACATGCAAAGCTATGATTGAGAGGAGCATAATTGAGCCAATTGTGGTGATTGAGAAAGTATTATGTGCCAAAAGAGAGTTTATTGATGTGTGGCCAAAGATTGACATCGATGATGTTACAGAACTAACAACAAGTGCTGACCCTACTTCCTGGATACCCCCTCATGGAAATTTTATAAATATTAATATAGATAGAGTGTGGGTGAGTGATTCCTTCAGATGAGGCTTTGGGGTAATTATCTGGAATGCTAATGGGGACTTTGAAGGGGGTTTGGCTGGCCCTATTATATGTGATTCATGTGCTTGCTGCTGAGGCCAATGCGGCCATCTAAGGTCTTGTGCCAAAAATAAGTATTGTAATACTTTTCTATTCTATCAATGGATCTCCATCCATGCCAAATAATTGAGAGATGTGACTAGCTTAGTTAGGGTTTCGACTTTCAATGTCTTGTGGCGGTAGATCATAATAGCCGAACCATGCTAATCTCTCTTCTTTATAATTTTCAACATTCTTCTCAATCATTTCTAATATAGATGGAATTTTAAATTCATGGTGGGATATGCTCGTCACTGAATTTAGACAAAGACGTTTTGAATAACTGTTAGGTGTAGTTAGGTATCATACGGATTATCAGATTTTGTCTCAATCCATTGAAGCCATTTTTAAATTGATGAAGAGCTGTCTGTCCACTTCTTTTCAAGGACATGTGATATTTTGGTGTGAAAAAGGACATTCCAATTAGAAGTCTAGGAAGCATGTGAATATTTACTTCTTTTTTTGTTTTCTAATATTACTGCATGTGGCAGCTACTTTCTCTTGGAGCTACCGTTTGTCAAGAAAACTATTTCGATTCTTTCTGCCAACAAGACACAGCAAGGCTTGTTATTTATTCTTACCTAACTTCATAATGTCAATTTAGGCATAAGGCTTAAAATTGCCTATGTGGTTCAGGCAATTTTGCTAGAAAAAACTCTTGTGGTGTTCTGTCAAATATTCAATTTTCGTCAATTTTGTGCAAGGTGAAGTTCACGTATGCGTCGCGTCACGTGTAGACGTATTATTTTGCACCCATTTCATTATTGGGCCTCCATAATTGTGTGAAATAAGCACCAAATGATCATACCCTTCATTTGGGTAATTTAAAAAAAATTAAAACTACATGATTGATTTTTACCACCATTTGTGGTATTAAGCCTTTTCATAATGCAGTTGGTCCATAGTCTAACAGTTCCATTATCCTAGCCTATAAAAGTAGCCACTCTGGCTTTTGTTTTCTGCCTCATTCTTTTCCATTCCTTAATCTTGGCTTAAAATAAATTTTCCAAATTCGTTCTTCTGTTTTCTGTGTTCAAAATGGCTTGTGGCATGAAACTATTGTTGGTAGCAATTGCTCTATCTTTGGTGTTGAACACTCAACATTTTGTTCAGGGAAAGCCACAGGTGCGAGAGCCACAGGTGGAAGAGCCACAGGTGCCCTGCTTTTTCATATTTGGAGACTCTGTGTCTGATAATGGCAACAACAACTTGCTTCCCACATTTGCCAAAGTCAACTACAGTCCCTATGGCGTTGACTTTCCTCAGGGCCCAACAGGAAGGTTCTGCAATGGCCGAAACATAGTTGATGTGCTTGGTCTGGACCTCTTCTTTACCTTCATCTTCTTATTTGGTCTTTGCTTTCAAATATGCAAATTGCTTTGAGATAAGATGGTTCACATTGTAGTTTATATTCTGTTTTCAAAAGGGTAGCTGTATAAAATTATATTCTCCTGCATTTTGGTAGAAAAACTTGTGTGAAACAGTGATATCCCCGTTCCACACAAGTGTTTCTCGCCTTTTGGGGTCCTTTAATTGTGTTTAAAAGATATAAACACAAGACTGGTTTGTGCTAAGTGAACATTTTCTCATTACAGCTGAGCTTCTGGGATTTGAAAACTACATTCCACCATTTGCATATGCCAATGGCTCTGAAATAGTTAAAGGAGTGAATTATGCATCTGGTGCAGCAGGAATTCGAAAAGAAAGTGGGAGTCAGTTGGTATATACTTAAATCACTTGATTAACTTTTGCATTTGACAGGTTAATTTCCAGTGTCTAATTATCGAGCACTTAAAAATGTGCTCTTGCAGGGTGCATGTATCAGCATGGGAGAACAGCTGAAGAATCACAGAACCACAGTCTTGCGAATTATCGACATACTTGGGAAGAGAAGCTTAGCCAAAAAGCACTTGAACAAGTGCTTATATTCAGTTGGGATGGGCAGCAATGACTACATTAACAATTACTTCCTGCCTCAGTATTACCAGACCAGTCAAAAATATACCCTTGAGGAATATGCAGAAGTTCTTATCAAACAATACACCCAGCAAATACTGGTTAGTAAGTACTAATATTAACACATGCATGAATTGTTTTTCCAAATTTCATTGAGATTAAATGAATTTGAAACAACCAAAACAACAACAAAATTTGATTCGTTTGTTTGATGTATTATGTTTTGAAAGAGGTTGCGCAAGTATGGAGCAAGGAAGGTTTCTTTGGTTGGCCTGGGGCTAATTGGCTGCACCCCAGATGCAATTAAGACCTATGGTACCAATGGATCTTCTTGTGTGGAAAAATTGAACAATGCATCCCAACAATTTAATCAAAAGCTTGTGGCTCTTGTTGATGAGCTCAACACCAATTTTACTGATTCAAAATTCATCTATGTCAACAGCTATGAAATGGGCTCAGGGGACCCTACATTAGTTGGTACATATAATTCAATTCTGAATCTCTCTCCTTTTTTTGTTTTTGTCTGCTATATTAAGTATGGAATTGAAGCCAACGGGGTCTATCCTAATGGTCTGAGATTCAAACCCCCATGATACCTTGGCAGTGTGTGTGAGAAATCCCCTCCCCTTTCTAACTTCGACAAAAGAAGAAAAAAAGATTATGAAATTGAATATTTGTTTTGGTTTGATAATTTCAGGGTTCAAGGTTTTGGATGCTGGGTGCTGTGAAGTGGATGAATATGGTCAATGTGCTCCTAACAAAACTCCATGCCAGAATAGGACTGATTATGTTTTCTGGGACGGATTTCATCCTAGTGAGGCCTCCAATTTAATCACTGCCAGCAGAACCTACTCAGCTTATAACGCTTCAGACACTTATCCAATGGATATCAGTCACTTAGTTCAGCTACAACTTGAGCCTCAAGTCACAGCGATCTAGTTACCTAGAAGCCTAGAATCCTTGCAAATAAAATTAATGTGAAAATCTTTTCTTCATCTAAGCAACAAATATGTTTGTTGCTAAATAAGAATGTAATTGTCACATATCGTATGCATTTTTTCCGTTGATAAGTTGGGTTTTACCAACTAACTTTTGATCTAATGGTACTTCATTTTCCAATTTTGGACACGATATTAAGTTCGAATCTTCCCTGACCAACAATTGAAAAAGAAAAAAAAAAAAGTGAGTTTGGTTATTGGTACCTAGCTATTTGATTAATATTTCTCTCAAAAGAGAAGTTGTTCTAGGGCTTTGGATGGACTTTAGCAAAAGTCAATGGACCATGGGCTGAATTGACACATGAGACTCGTTCATGATCACTTTTCCATTTTGGCCCATTTTAAAAGGGCTTACTCGAGTGAACAAATTGTCGGTAGTTGACGAACCATGACCTGGCAAGTCTGAGTTGACCAATTATTAATCAGTCAATCAAAACCTCCACAGCACATTCTTTTGATGGGTTACAAAACTGATATCTCAAACAAGCGGATGGTCAAAATCTCATTTAAAAGGACAAAACAGCTAACATTTCCAATCCCCTCCCCTCTATAAATGCTCTCTCCTGCCTCCATTTCTCTTCTTAATTTGTATACATACCACCTTTGTTATAATTTCATAATGGCAAAAGAGATAACATTAGGGTTCATCCTGATTGTTGTTTTCGTGGTTTCAATATCACAATCTCGTCTTGTTAATGGAGCACCACAAGTACCTTGTTTTTTCATTTTTGGTGATTCATTGGCTGATAATGGCAATAATAACAACCTCCGGAGCTTTGCTAAAGTCAACTACCAACCTTACGGGATTGATTTTCCAACTGGACCGACAGGAAGATTTTGCAATGGCCGGACCACAGTTGACATACTAGGTCTTGTATTGCATCACTCTTTCTGAATCTCTATAACATGCTCGGCTCGCTATAATTGTTGTTTGTTCACATATATATGTTCTCCTCTTGTTTTGTTTGCTTATTGGTTTGAGCATGAGCATAATATTTAAGTTTACTTGATACGTGTGGTTTGTAGATGATAACACGTATTTAGAATCGTACGTGTAACTATTTTTACCTAAAGAAAAAGTGGATCATATTAACTTCCCTCGATGTGCGAATATAAGTATGGTTGCAAGCATGCAGGAATGAGGCTAATTACTATGATGTTTACATGACAGCTCAACTGTTGGGTTTTGAGAACCCCATCCCATCATTTGCAGCTACTAGCTGCCCAGACATTTTAAAAGGTCTGAACTACGCATCAGGCTCAGCAGGAATTCGAACAGAAACTGGCTTCCAAATGGTACGTAATTACTAATTAATCACAACATGTTATTATATACGTACAAACCCTAGGTAATTAAAAATAATTAACCTCCATGCAGGGTGCTCGTATCAGCTTAGATAAGCAGCTACAAAATCACCAAGTCACAGTCTCACGCATTGCTTCCACACTTGGAAATAACCAATCGGCTCTGCAGCATTTAAACAAATGCTTATATTCAGTGGGAATGGGCAGCAATGACTACATAAACAACTATTTCCTGCCTCAATTTTATGACACCAGTAGCATATATAATCCTGAACAATACGCCACACTTCTTATTGATCAATATTCTCGTCAAATAAAGGTTAGTAATTATTAATTTTGACTTTAAAAATACAATATTTGCTCAATTTGATTGAAAATTATTATTTTTTAACTTGTTCGATGATGTTGTTTTAACAGAGCTTGTACAAGAATGGAGCGAGGAAGGTGGCCTTGATTGGATTGGGATCAATAGGCTGCACCCCAAATGCAATTTCAACATTTGGCACAAATGGGTCCGCATGTGTGAATTATATGAACAGTGCGGTCCACCTTTTTAACCAAAAGCTTTTAGCTCTAGTCAATCAGCTAAACACCAATCTGACCGATGCAAGATTCATCTATGTCAACAGCTTTGGAATGGCTTCAGGGAACCCAGCAGCTGCTGGTATAAATACATTAATCCTTGGGACTAATTAACTTTGCTTAATACAAGTGACACTAATTAACAAATTAATTAATTCTTTTTGTTCGTTTTCAGGTTTCAAGGTTGTGAATGTTGGGTGCTGCCCAGTGAATAATTTTGGTCAATGTGCTGCTGGCCAAACTCCATGCCAGAACAGGAGTGAGTATGTGTTCTGGGATGGATTTCATCCCACTGAGGCTTTGAATAAAATCACTGCAACAAGAACATACACCGAGTTTGATCCGTCCGACACTTATCCGTTGGATATCAGTCACCTTGTTCAACTTAGTCTATAATCATGCATGTAGCCCTAGAAGCCAAGCAAATAAATTTCACTGGGAAATTAATCTTCCCCATATAATCTGATCAATGAATTGTTACCTGACATGGGATTAATATTTTATTGTAATTGTAGAAGAATTAGTGGACGATCATGTAAACCTTGGGCACCTCCGTTAGATAAAAGTTACAAAAGTGATCATATCTCAACAAGAGTAGAAGAAGTGGTCAAAATCTTTTTTTCTTTTTCTTTTTCTTTCTTTTAAAAACTATCACAACTTGCCAAAAATAATTTGCATGTAGACATCATCATCATGTCCCTCTTTTAGACATGATTGAAGTTGGTTAGAGCTAGCTTCAATATCTTTGCCAATCTTGACTCAAATCATATCCATACCCTATGGGAGAATATTGGGAATAAAATCCTTTGCCCATGCCATCTCTTGTTTCCAATTACAACCATTATCTATTATATTTGGTTGCCCAAAAATAAATAAAAAATTCATCCACAACCCTTTACCCTGTTAATTTCTCATCGATCGTAAGCGTTATTGTGGTTTCGACCAAAAAATAAAATAAAATAAGCATTATTATGGCAAGTTTTCTTGTATTTGTGTCAAAGATGACATTTTTTATTTATAAAAAAAAAAAAGGCAAAGCTATCAATCTTGACCATACCAATTGCCCATTTAGCTTCACATGCATGTAACATTTCCAATCCCCTCTGTCTATAAATACTCCCCCTCCTGTCTCCATTTTCTTCACTTCTTAATTTGTATACTTCCCTCCCCTTTCAGTGTTATAATTTCCATAATGGCAAAAGTGCCAACAACAATATTGTTCATGATGGTCGTCGTTTTGGTGGATCCAATTTGTGGAGCACCACGAGTTCCTTGTTTTTTCATTTTTGGTGATTCATTGGCCGATAATGGCAATAATAACAACCTCCTCACCACGGCCAGAGTGAACTACCAGCCCTACGGGATTGATTTTCTCACTGGACCAACCGGAAGGTTTTGCAACGGCCGGACCACCGTTGACATATTAGGTAGGTCTTACATATTTCCTCTCCCTTTCTAAATTTCTTTTATGTCTCTCCCGTTGACATATATGTATATATATATTACAGCTCAACTTCTGGGTTTTGAGAATCTCATCCCTCCATTTGCAACTAGCAATAAGGGTCCAGACATTTTAAAAGGTCTGAATTATGCATCTGGCGCAGCAGGAATTCGAGAATTATATATATATTACAGCTCAACTTCTGGGTTTTGAGAATCTCATCCCTCCATTTGCAACTAGCAATAAGGGTCCAGACATTTTAAAAGGTCTGAATTATGCATCTGGCGCGTAGTAGGAATTCGAATCGAAACTGGCTCCCAATTGGTAACTAAAACTAATATCATTGCAAATCAGCTTAATTAAATAAGTTATTCAGATATCAAATTATATATTTTCTCCTTGCAGGGTGGTCATATCAACTTAGATCAGCAATTACTTAATCACCAAGTTACAGCCATACGCATTGCTTCCATACTTGGAAGTAAACAATCAGCTTTGCAGTATTTAAACAAATGCTTATATTCAGTTGGAATGGGAAACAATGATTACATTAACAATTACTTCAAGCCTCAATTTTATCCCACCAGTCGCATATACAACCTTGAACAATATACCGCAGTTCTTATTGAACAATATTCTCGCCAAATAATGGTAATTAGTTACTAATTAATTTCCCATATATGTCTTTGTGACTAGAACAAACAATTAATTAATTAAATTTACTGGTTTTTGAAGACTTTGAACGACAAGTATGGAGCAAGGAAGGTGGCCTTGGTTGGGCTGGGACTTATAGGCTGCACCCCAAATGCGATTTCAACATTTGGAACGAATGGGTCTGCATGTGTTGATAAATTGAACAGTGCAGCCCAAATGTTTAACCAAAAGCTTGTATCTTTGGTCGATCAGCTCAACGCCAATCTGAGAGATGCAAAATTCATCTATGTCAACAGCTTTGGGATGGGGTCGGGCGACCCTGCAGCTGCTGGTACACACATACACATTCTTTCTTGGGACCAATCTCTCTATTTGCTATTGTTAAGAGGACATTAATTTATAATCAAGTAATTAATTAATTGTTTTGTTAATTAATTTCAGGGTTCAGGGTTGTTAATGTTGGATGCTGCCCAGTAAACAATATTGGTCAATGTGCTGCTGGCCAAACTCCATGCCAAAATAGGAGTGAGTATGTGTTTTGGGATGGATTTCATCCTACTGAGGCCTTGAACCATATCACTGCAATAAGAACATATACTGCTTTTGATCCGTCCGATACTTACCCAATGGATATCAGTCACCTCGTTCAGCTTAGGTTATAATCATGGAGCTTTTATGAGAAGTCATGCAAATAAACTTCACATTGACATTGACCTTCCCCACATAATCTGATCAATAAATTGTTACTTGACTCCTTGTTTTTGTTTTGTTTTTTGTTTTTGGAGTATCATATATTAATACACATTGTTTTGGATTAATGTGTGACAGAGCAGCTGTAAATTGTATTAATCCAAATGTGAATCTTCATTCCTCTATTGTAATACAATAAAAAAATGTGATTCTTCACTTCATTTGTAGCAATCTTTATATGTTGTGCGGCGCCTTTTGGTTTCATAACATTTTTCAGCCTCGGTTGATTTGGAATAACAAGAGCATAATGTATTAATCCAAATTGAATTTGGTTATATGAATTGTAGCACACATCGTACGTCTAGTTTTCTAATTATAAGTATAAGGATTTTGTAGTTCAAGTAGTTAAGAGTATTTACCCCTGTACTCGATATACTAAATTCAATTCCCCTTATATTTAAAAAAAAAAAGTTTCATTTAAGTTGGAAGAAAATTTGATTGGAACTCCTTTTTTTTTTTTTTTTTTTTTGAGTCAATTGGAACTCTCCTTTTGATGAACAATACATTGCCCAGGGGTTTTATGCGCTTTAGCAAAACTTAGTAGACCATGGGCTAACTCAAACCTAGTCATGGACTGACCCAACTCATTTATTAAGGAGTTGACCCATGTTCAATTTTTCTTTTCTATTTTTTAAGCTTGGCCAAGCCTTAAGGGCTGAACCAAAATCACTTTGTCTTAAGCAAGTTTCTGTAGATGCCATTCTATGCGCCCCTCCCAATAATTATATGAATTCTATAGTGAGGGCTTTACATATGGTCCTTAGGTGAGATCCCATTTTTTTGCCGTTGGATCAAATTGGTTAGTTTGATCCAACAATTAAGATATAGAACCTCATTTAAGGGCCATATATAAGACCCTCACTATAGAATGACTCGCGCCCTACTATCTATGCTCTCACATGCTTGTTAATAACCTTAATTTGTTTTTATTTTAAATAAAAAAGTTAAATCAACCGAATCTGCAACACCTTTTTTGAGAAATTTTGTAGTGTTATATTCACATAGACTTATTATACCTTAAGTTCATGAAATATCAACAATATTGTCTAGTTATAAAATAATATGTATAGATTAGTAACATCATGTGGTGGTGTGAACATCGCATCAATATTAGTAACATCGTGTTGTGGAGTGAGTATGTGTTATGGGACGGATTTCATCCTACTGAGGCTTTGAATCAAATCACTTCAAGAAGAACATACATTGAGTTTGATCCGTCCGACACTTATCCGTTGGATATCAGTCACCTTATTCAGCTTAGTCTATAGTCATGCATGTAGCCCTAGAAGCCAAGCAAATAAATTTCACTAGGATATTAACTTCCCCATATAATCTGATGAATGAATTGTTACCTGACATGGGATTAATATTTTATTTTAATTGTAGAAGAATTAGTGGACGATCAAGTAAACCTTGGGCACCTCCGTTAGATAAAAGTTACAAAAGTGATCATATCTCAACAAGTAGAAGAAGTGGTCAAAATCTTTTTTTTTTTTCTTTCTTTTACAAACTATCACAACTTGCCAAAAATAATTTGCATGTAGACATCATCATGTCCCTCTTTTAGACTCAAATCATATCCATACCCTATGGGAGAATATTGGGAATAAAATCCTTTGCCCATGCCATCTCTTGTTTCCAATTACAACCATTATCTATTATATTTCACTACACCAAATTGGAGTTTTTACAATTTGAGATTTACGACACGTTTTTTGTGTATGTCGTTAATATATGATGTTTATGGCATATGGCAAAGCACGCCTTAAAAAGGTAATAAAGTGTGCCGTTAATAACTGATATTTACGGCATATGAAAGCACGCCTTAAAAAGGTAATTTTTGTGTCTTTTAACGGCGTGTTTAGATATACACTGTGAAGTCTAATTTTTTTTTTTTGGCTTAAATATCAAAATGGTCTCTGTGTTTTACCTCATCGGCCAATTTAATCCCCGTGTTATCAATTTGGCCAATTTAATCCCTGTATTTGTATATGTTAGCAAATGTGATCCTTTTTGTCAAAATTTTGTTAAAACTGGAAAAAAAATATTTCAAATTAATTTTAAAAACTGTAATTACATATCCCAATTCAATCTAAAAATGGAATTGAAAAAAAGTTTTGCCTCCCCCAATGTCACGCTCAGACGTCAACCATCTCCTAAACTCATAGCCACTCTCACTACACCCACTTCAACTCCAAAAAATACACATTGTGTGCTGGTAGCGGAGAAGGAAGATGATTGCAACAAGAAAATACGATTGACTATCACTTTCTTTGCTAGAGAATGCAAGAACATCGCTTTTAATAATTAAGTTTTTATTATTATTTGAATTTGAATATTTATAATTAATTTAAATATTTTTATTTTCTTCAGTTTCAATTAAATTTTGACAAGAAGGACCATATTTGCTAAAATATATAAACACATAGACTAAATTGGTCAAATTAATAATACGGGTTCTAAATTGGTAGATGAGGTAAAACACATGGACCATTTCGACATTTAAGCCTATTTTTTTAAAATCTATTATGGCATGCACTGGGTACGCCCGGATTGTTTTTGTTTTTTGGCTTTTTTACGAAACCCCCTAATTATATTTGAAAACCAGCTAAAAATATGACCTTTTTAGACATTTCCTTCATTTTAGTTTTCCTTCAGACCAGAACATTCTCATCGCTTCCCTCTCCCTCTCCCTCTCTCACAATTTTAGGATTCTCTCACTGGACCATTCAAGAGCTCCAGCTCCTTGTTCGCTAGAAGACTATTGCTCGAGCCCTATTACTTCAAAGTTGAATGCTCAGTGACAGTCCCAGGTGCGATTCTCTAAAGCCCTAACCCCCAATGCTTGATTATGAGTTTTCTTATAGTTTAGAATCATGTTCCCTACTGCATTCATGTAGTTAGAGGCCTCATTGCTTTAATTCTTGATTTATACGGCATATTATTTTCGTTTAAATTCAGAAAAATTGATATCGTTAACTATTTTTCTCGATTTATTTAAATATTCATTGTTTTAAGCTCGATCTCTGTACGTCTTGGATTCAATGTTCAGCGCTGAATCGGATTTCAATTTTCTTGTCGTATTTTTAAAATTTTGTTTGATTTGCTCTGTTTTTCTTAATATAAAAAACTCCTGAAATATATGATTATCTCTTCGTTTAAGTAATTCAGTTAGATTTCTCGGTGAGATCGAACTAGTTTTCCCCGATTCTATAGACGTAAGTTTTGTGCGAATTTTGCTTCAAAACTGAGGAATCGAATTTCTAATAGTAACGCGTGGGTTTTGTGCAGTGATTGCTCAGGGAATCAATGCCGGAGATATTAATAAGTTTGAAGACGTTGGGATCTACACCTGCAATGGCTTGATGATGCATATGAAGAAGGTAAAACGAATTTAAACTCTAATTTCTTATACTGAGCATGTTAAGGTCCGATTCCTTACTCTGATTTCTGTTTGGCAGAACTTGACTGGAATCAAAGGTTTATCTGAGGCTAAAATTGATAAGATATGTGAAGCTGCTGAAAACCATTTCAGCTAAGAGATTTTATATCTCATATGTGTTCCTTGATTGTAAGCATTTATGTTGCTGAAATGTTCAGAGACAAATTCAACTTGTTATTCATAGTTTGAGAGAGGTAAAATCTTGTTGAAATGTTCCAATTCATATAAGAATCAAAAAGTTATGTACTTTTTATTAGGAACTTGTAGTTTCATGTTTAACTTCAGCAAGTTTTTTGTTTATCAGGCTCTAGATGGCGCTGACAGGTTCCAGAATACCCATCAAAGGCAACAATTTCAATCTGCAGAATTTAGTATAGATCAGGTAACTTTCATGTGGTACATTTTTCTTTCATATGTTATTTGTTGTTATCGTTGTTAAGGGATTTAGTGCCTTTCTCTTTCTAGTGAGTTATGGCTATAAGGCTAAACATATCTTGGTCAGGTTGTATTCATTCTAGAGTCGCAAAGGACATACTTCTTTTGGATGATATGGCAGCAGAGGAAACATTAGAGGTAAAATCTATCAGTCATTTATCTGGTTCTTGTACGTTTGATGCGTTATCTGTCTTTCATGATATAAACTGTTCTAGTGAAATGTGATTGTTTTTGTGTAAAGAATGAAGTGAAGAACGACAGGTTCTGCCTCTGTCCATTTTTGCTGTGTTGATGAAAAGGCATACACATAATTTTCTGGATATACAGGAGACAAATATTTTTCCACCATTTTCCTTAATAATGCATACTTCAATCATAATATATGTCTTCTAATATTCTTATTTTGTTTTTGTTTTTATTCTTTCCTTTGGCAAATTTTTTCCTTAATAATGCACACTTCAATCATAACATTCCGGCTTAGTTTTGCCCTTTTATCATGAGGTTTTTCCTTTGGCAAATTACAATGGTTAAGTTGCTAAAATGAGTTTTCAAACAAAATGCAGGTGGCCATTGCCGCAGATCAAGTGTGAGTTTGATTCTTGTTAGATGATGTCTACGGCCAGTGCTATCGTGAGGTTTTTGCATAGGTTACGTTGTAGGTTTGTCATTACTATTATGAGTGAATGAGTTGGAGGCTGTGTACAAGTTAATTGTAGATTTGGCAGCCCTATTATTTGTTTCTTTAATACTCTATAGTGTTTCTTTAATACTCTATAGAGTTTGTATTTGGAATTGATTATTATTGGTATAGTTTTCAATGAAATGGTTCTTTCTTTCAAGTTTGGTTGCAATACTACTTTTTGTTTTGGTTGGAATTGATTATGTTTGGTAAATATGAAACAGGAGCAGGCAGGGAATTAATAAATTTTTTTAACAAAATTTAAAGTTAAACACGGTGTGCAATGAATGTCTTAAATGGGAATTAATTACTCTTTTACGGCGTGCATTGTATGCCATAATTAGACATTTAAGAAGGTGCGCGGAGCACGCCGTAATTATTCTTTTAAGACACGCAGAGTGTGTTGTAATTGCTTCAATTGAATTACGGCTCACAAGGAATGTCGTCTTAAGTTTTTATTACGACGTTCATGCATGCCGTGATTGAGGAACACTATTTACGACGCGGGCTTTTATTGCTTGCGTGTTTCGCGTCGTGATTGATAATTCACGACGTGCTTTGTGCGCCGTAATAGATGTATTTTGGTGTAGTGTTTGGTTGCCCAAAAATAAATAAAAAATTCATCCACAACCCTTTACCCTGTTAATTTCTCATCGATCGTAAGCGTTATTGTGGTTTCGACCAAAAAATAAAATAAAATAAGCGTTATGGCAAGTTTTCTTGTATTTGTGTCAAAGATGACATTTTTTTTTTATAAAAAAAAGGCAAAGCTATCAATCTTGACTATAACCAATTGCCCATTTAGCTTCACATGCATGTAACATTTCCAATCCCCTCTGTCTATAAATACTCCTCCTCCTGTCTCCATTTTCTTCACTTCTTAATTTGTATACTTCCTCCTTCCCCTTTCAGTGTTATAATTTCCATAATGGCAAAAGTGCCAACAACAATATTGTTCATGATGGTCGTCGTTTTGGTGGATCCAATTCATGGAGCACCACAACTTCCTTGTTTTTTCATTTTTGGTGATTCATTGGCCGATAATGGCAATAATAACAACCTCCTCACCACAGCCAGAGTGAACTACCAGCCCTACGGGATTGATTTTCTCACTGGACCAACCGGAAGGTTTTGCAACGGCCGGACCACCGTTGACATATTAGGTAGGAATAATATATTTCCTCTCCCTTTCTAAATTTCTTTTATGTCTCTCCCGTTGACATATATATATATATATTACAGCTCAACTTCTGGGTTTTGAGAATCTCATCCCACCATTTGCAACTAGCAATAAGGGTCCAGACATTTTAAAAGGTCTAAATTATGCATCTGGCGCTGCAGGAATTCGAGTCGAAACTGGCTCCCAATTGGTAACTAAAACTAACATCATTGCAAATCAACTCAATTAAATAAGTTACTAACATATCAAATTATATATTTTCTCCTTGCAGGGTGGTCATATCAGCTTAGATCAGCAATTACTTAATCACCAAGTTACAGCCATACGCATTGCTTCTATACTGGGAAGTAACCAATCAGCTTTGCAGTATTTAAACAAATGCTTATATTCAGTTGGAATGGGAAACAATGATTACATTAACAATTACTTCAAGCCTCAATTTTATCCCACCAGTCGCATATACACCCTTGAACAATACACCACACTTCTTATTGAACAATATTCTCGCCAAATAATGGTAATTAGTTACTAATTAATTTCCCATATCTGTCTTTGTGACTTGAACAAACAATTAATTAATTAAATTTACTGGTTTTTGAAGACTTTGAACAACAAGTATGGAGCAAGGAAGGTGGCCTTGGTTGGGCTGGGACTTATAGGCTGCACCCCAAATGCGATTTCAACATTTGGAACGAATGGGTCTGCATGTGTTGATAAATTGAACAGTGCAGCCCAAATGTTTAACCAAAAGCTTGTATCTTTGGTCGATCAGCTCAACGCCAATCTGAGAGATGCAAAATTCATCTATGTCAACAGCTTTGGGATGGGGTCGGGCGACCCTGCAGCTGCTGGTAGATGCATACACATTATTTCTTGGGACCAATCTCTATTTTACATGCATCATATTATTCTGAGGTGATTAATTATTTTGTTAATTAATTTCAGGATTTAAGGTTGTGAATGTTGGGTGCTGCCCAGTGAACAATATTGGTCAATGTGCTGCTGGCCAAACTCCATGCCAAAATAGGAGTGAGTATGTGTTTTGGGACGGATTTCACCCCACTGAGGCCATGAACCAGATCACTGCAATAAGAACATACACTGCTTTTGATCCGTCCGATACTTACCCAACGGATATCAGTCACCTCGTTCAGCTTAGGTTATAATCATGGAGCTCTTATGAGAAGTCATGCAAATCTGAATCTTCATTCCTCTATTGTAATACAATAAAAAATGTGATTCTTCACTTCATTTGTAGGAATCTTTATATGTTGTGCAGCGCCCGGCGCCGTTTGCTTTCATAACATTTTTTAGCCTCAGTTGGTTTGGAATAACAACTTCCATAATGTATTAATCCAAATTGAATTTGGTTATGAATTGTAGCACACATCGTGCGTATCCGTCTAGCTTTCTAATTATAAGTATAAGAATTTTGTAGTTCAAGTAGTTAAGACCATTTATCCCTGCACTTGATATACTAAATTCAATTCCCCCTTATAAAAAAAATGTTTCATTTAAGTTGGAAGAAAATTTGATTGGAACTCTCCTTTTGATGAACAATACATTGCCCATGGGTTTTATGGGCTTTAGCAGACCATGGGCTGACTCAAACCTAGTCATGGACTGACCCAACTCATTTATTAAGGAGTTTACCCATGTTCAATTTTTCTTTTTTTTAAGCTTGGCCAAGCCTTAAGGGCTGATCCAAAATGACATGTCTTAAGCAAGTTTCTGTAGATGCCATGCTATGCGCCCCTCCTAAGTTTTATATAGTGATGGCTTTATATATGGTTCTTAGGTGATACTCTATTTCTTAGTCGTTGGATCAAATTAGTTAGTTTGATCTAACAGTAAAGAGATAAGACCTCACCTAAGGGCCATATATAAGGCACTCACTATAGAATGACTCGCACCCCTTCTAGCTCTACTCTCACTTCATGCATGTTAATAACCTTAATTTGTTTTAATTTTAAATAAAAAAGTTAGATCAACCGAATCTGCAACACTTTTTTTGAGAAATTTTGCAGTGTTATATTCACTTAGACTTATTATACCTTAAGTTCATGAAATATCAACAATGTTGTCCAGTTATAAAATGATATGTATAGATTAGTAACATCATGTGGTGGTGTGAACGTCACACCAATATTTTTTTCTTTCCATTCTTATTGATGGGTTACAAAACGGATCATATGCCAAACAAGGGTGCTGCCCAGTGAACAATATTGGTCAATGTGCTGCTGGCCAAACTCCATGCCAAAATAGGAGTGAGTATGTGTTTTGGGACGGATTTCACCCCACTGAGGCCATGAACCAGATCACTGCAATAAGAACATACACTGCTTTTGATCCGTCCGATACTTACCCAATGGATATCAGTCACCTCGTTCAGCTTAGGTTATAATATGGAGCTTTTATGAGAAGTCATGCAAATCTGAATCTTCATTCCTCTATTGTAATACAATAAAAAATGTGAGTCTTCACGTCATTTGTAGGAATCTTTATATGTTGTGCAGCGCCCGGCGCCGTTTGCTTTCATAACATTTTTTAGCCTCGGTTGGTTTGGAATAACAACTTCCATAATGTATTAATCCAAATTGAATTTGGTTATGAATTGTAGCACACATCGTGTGTATCCGTCTAGCTTTCTAATTATAAGTATAAGAATTTTGTAGTTCAAGTAGTTAAGAGCATTTATCCCTGCACTCGATATACTAAATTCAATTCCCCCTGTATAAAAAAAAATGTTTCATTTAAGTTAGAAGAAAATTTGATTGGAACTCTCCTTTTGATGAACAATACATTGCACATGGGTTTTATGGGCTTTAGCAGAACTCAGTAGACCATGGGCTGACTCAAACCTAGTCATGGACTGACCCAACTCATTTATTAAGGAGTTGACCCATGTTCAATTTTATTTTTTTAAGTTTGGCCAAGCCTTAAGGGCTGATCCAAAATGACTTGTTTTAAGCAAGTTTCTGTAGATGCCATGCTATGCGCCCCTCCTAAGTTTTCTATAGTGAGGACTTTATATATGGTCCTTAGGTGATGCTCTATTTCTTAGTCGTTGGATCAAATTGGTTAGCTTGATCCAATAGTTAAGAGATAGGACCTCACATAAGGGCCATATATAAGGCACTCACTATAGAATGACTTGCACCCCCCCTTCTAGCTCTACTCTCACTTCATGCATGTTAATAACCTTAATTTGTTTTAATTTTAAATAAAAAAGTTAGATCAACCGAATCTGCAACACTTTTTTTGAGAAATTTTGCAGTGTTATATTCACTTAGACTTATTATACCTTAAGTTCATGAAATATCAACAACATTGTCCAGTTATAAAATGATATGTATAGATTAGTAACATCATGTGGTGGTGTGAACGTCACACCAATATTTTTTTCTTTCCGTTCTTATTGATGGGTTACAAAACGGATCATATGCCAAACAAATAGATGGTCAAAATTTTATTTAAAATAATGAATTTGTAATTATGTTATCAGTTTCAACTTTTTACTATTCATCACTATTGTAATTAGAACCCATTTACCATGTGGTTTCTAAAACAACAGAGGAAAAGAACTATAACCTCCATTTTGTTATTATGGCGAGTTTTAATTAGGGTTAATTTGTTTTGTAACGAAATTGACTCAAACAAGTCTTTGTGTCTTTAATTAGTAA